GTGACTCAAAAAAAGTTCCATTTGCTGTCATATTTAATTCTTGCATAAGAAGAGATTGTATAAAACGACTATACCAGATGCTTCTTGCTGGAAGATCTGTTGATTGGCCTCGATCATTGATTGTACTTATATCTGGTAAATTTATATCACAGTTGTTAATAGCTGCATAGCCTATCCAACTAGAGGACAAAGAGGAAGTATTGTTTTTCCATGAAATTATTGTAATATTTGTTGAATGGCAACTGACATGTAGTTGCAACCACAAGCCTTGAATTGACCAATCATGACTCCCATTAGTTTTTAAATTGGGTTTTATTGCTTTGTTTATTAAAAGTCCACCATTACCATGATCTACAACCATTGTGTCAATAATTCCATAACCCTCCTTCTGTACACTTGTCACATTCAACATCATAAAATCATAGGAAGGATATGAAATATTATCATTAATACTAGTTTTCAACAGACGGTATCTCATTGCATTGTTACTGTATGTTTTGTTAAAGTCAATTGCATATTCTTCATCAACATGGAACATATTTTTCATTCCTGGACATAGTTGGTAGTAAAATCCACCACATACCCTAATGCTTGTTAGCTCCTTCAGAGAAAATGTGTTATTAACTGCACTATCCAATAATGGATCAGCATTGATAACATCAGCATCAACAGATGTTATATCATATGTTACTTCAAATGTATAAATACCAAGTGGTGCAATAGCTGATACTCCAAATAATGCTATTAAAGATACCCCAACAAGTATGTAAGTATATTACGTTTATATGATCCCATGCCCCATAATTTAATTCCTGTTAAAGCAGGTTGGCCACCTGTTCCATAAATATTAAGTAGACTTGCCCCAACCACTTTACTTAAAGTTGTCCACTCTAAAGCCATCATTTTATATTGATGCTCATTAATATTGATATGGTGCCCAACACAGAAATAATAATTGGTAGGATAGCACTAAAAATACCAATTAATCCAGCTAATTGACCAATGCTTAATTCAACTATCACCATTTTTAGGGTTTAAGGATTATAAAAAGAATATATTACGATCAAGTTTTGTAGTGTGTAAACTTGTGTGTAAATGATTTATGTTATTATTGTTTATTATTTATTATGAAATAACAGGCTATGCGTGTTAGAAGGGGATAGATAGTGAAAATTTATTATTAGTTTCGATTAATGAATGAATGGATTTATATTCACAACACTTGCTATTTCACAGTTAATTTTAAGGTAGATTATTTATTAATTGAAACTTTCAAAAACCCTCTTCCTTATATACATTATTTAGTTTAATTGCTGCGATGCAGTATAAATTTGGTTGGTGCAGGAACGAATCAAAAAGAAATAATCATCTTTTGCTGAAAGAAAAAATTTTCCATTTGTAGTCATAAACAATATCTAGAATTAGAATTTAAATTATACGTAAATGAAATATTTTGAATTTACAAGGTTATTACGTAGGGGAATTGCTATTTCTCACTGGTGGACCACCTAAGGAATTATACAATTTATGATTAAACCGAACCCTAACTCCGCCCCACGCAAATTTAATTCCTTAGGTGGTGACAATCACCACCGGAGTAATATTATTCATATTATTTTATATTATTATATTATTTATTTGTGTTTATTTATTATTTTTAGTTATCTATTATTTATTTTTAGTTCTTTATTTTATCTATTATTTATTTTTAATTTTATTATATATATTTGTATTAATTTTCCGAATGGTTATCCAACACTATCATCCTCTGTACCAATATATAATTGGCTTATAAACCAATTAGAAGATTATGAAGACTTGACAGATATTTCAGATGAAATGAAAGTCACTATAACTAAAGCAAAAAATAAATTATTGCAATATTATAATAAAACTGATGCTTCATTATATACAATAACAACAAGTAACCATCATTTTAAGACATAAGTTATATTAATTTGTCTTAATTAGTTAATAAATAAAGAAGCAATATTTTTTTTTCATAATAATAAATTATAATAATCATAATTTTTCTAATAGTATTGAACCCCAGACTTAAACTTAATTATTATAAAAAAGATAATTGGGAAAGAAGATACATAGACTCTGCACAAAAATTAATTAATTCTGAAATTAGTAATAATGAAAATGATGGTGAGGATGATTTAACAAGTCAGATTTATAAGTGTAAACATATTGCCCACAATTCCAATGAATTAAATTTGTACCTCAAAGATCCAAATGCACAAGAAAAGACTGATGTTTTGTTATGGTGGAAGGTAAGTTAGATTTTATTATTTAACAATAAAATAATTGATTATATTGATGTAATTAAAATGTATGATATGATTTTCTTGTAGATGCACAAGCTGGAATATCCTCATCTAGCCAAAATGGCAAGGATTATCTTGCCATTCCAGCATCTAGTGTCCAGTTAAAAGTATCTTTTCTGGTGGTACTGATTTAATTACACCAACTAGATGCAGTTTGTCTGCAGATACAATTAGGTGCTGTATGTGCCACCTCAAAGATCCAAATGCACAAGAAAAGACTGATGTTTTGTTATGGTGGAAGGTAAGTTAGATTTTATTATTTAACAATAAAATAATTGATTATATTGATGTAATTAAAATGTATGATATGATTTTCTTGTAGATGCACAAGCTGGAATATCCTCATCTAGCCAAAATGGCAAGGATTATCTTGCCATTCCAGCATCTAGTGTCCAGTTAAAAGTATCTTTTCTGGTGGTACTGATTTAATTACACCAACTAGATGCAGTTTGTCTGCAGATACAATTAGGTGCTGTATGTGCCTTAAAAATTGGTGGAAGGGCATTTTAAAAGATTCACAATAATAAAATTTTTAAATAAAATTATTAAAAAAAATATTTATACTATATAAATAAAAAATATTTTTGTAAATAAAATTATAAAATATACATTAAAATAAAGATTTTTCATTTATTATATATGTGTATTTAATTCAAATCATGGATTCAAATCAGTTATTATAGATTCAAATCAGTCAGTTTGAATCAAATCAAGTAAATCAAATTAGTTCAAATCAAATTATATATTCAAATCAGTTCGAATCAAGTTGAATCAAATCAAAGTACAATTTGGATTTGATGCGAATTCAATTTGAATGAAATGAATCAAAATTAAGTGATTCAATTTGATTCAATTTGATTCAAATTCAAATCAGTTCAAATTTCATTGATTTGTTCAGAGTCTTACCCCCTTCCTCTAAATTAGATAGATCTAAATTTATAAAAGGAGGTATGATAATATTATGTGATTAGTCTTCATTATCCTTGCCAAAAAATAATCAAACACCAAGAACAACTTTATTCAATCCTTTGAGTAAAAATGGAAAACATGATACACATAAAGGAATGATTCTGTTATTAGAAATCCACTATTGAATTTTTGATGGGGTTTTTTAGATAAATTCATTTTCCAACTTTGATTTTGTTTATTTAAAATAATTATTTTATTTTCTCATACACACACACACGCACACACACTCTCTCAAGTTATTTTCTAATGTATGAAGACATACAACTCCAATTCATCCAAGGATGCCAGCACAATTGTAATATTACATAATTTAATTTAATCTATCAATAATCAATCAGATAGTGATAATAAATATACGTATATATTTGCATATAGATAGGTTTACTTGATTTACATCCATATTCAAAAATTTTAAAAAGTGGAACTGGTAATGGGTTTTTGACATTATATCTAGCATGAGCTCTACATCCAACTAGAATTGTTCGCATCATAGACATTAATCTGGATTATATAAAAATATTCATGTGGTTTGTACTATGATATTATTGAATTTAGTACTTGGTCATGTTCAGAAATCTAAAAATTGCTAATAATTATGGTGCTAAAAAGAGGCATCATCATCTACCACTTATTTCTTAAAACATTTAATATAATAATAATATGATCCTAGAAAAGCATTATCTTATATTTGTCAACTTTCTCTCATATACCAACAAATCATGCTGCATTCAATTCAAAAAAATATCTTCTTTTTCAACAAAGATTTAAAAGGTTAAAATCTACATAAAAAAAAGAAAAAGAAACTTTTATATAATTGTTAATTTCCTAATTTTCATTGTTATCATAAGATTTATTTGATTCAACAAACAAATCTGTTATGTGACCACATATATTTCTCAAATCTTCTAAACCTTTATGCATTGCATCTATTGCTGTTATATTGTCTATGAAAATAAAATAAAATACTCTGTAAATACAAAATTAATATATTACGAAAGTTTTTAACATAATAAAGAAATTAATTACTGGTAGTTTGTACACGTAAATTAAGTTTATCTTCTGATGGATGTGGTATAGAATATCCACAATATTCTACTTCTGGGCTTTTTTTTTTTTTCAAAAAAAAAATCAAGTCAATTAATAAAAATAAAAATAAAAATATCATCATCATCATCATCATCATCATAATTATTACTTTTGCATTATTACATAACGTAAAGCATTTCCCAATGTATGATCTTCTTCTGATATGTTAAATGTTAAACTTGTTGGATCATCATCTTTATTAAATTTCTTTTTTATTAAAAAAATTAATAATATTGTAAAGTAAAAAAAACCAAAAAATGGGTTTTTACTTTAAAAATAATTAATTACAAAATCTAATATTTCACTATAAGCATCATCATCAACAGTCTCTCCATCTTCTCCTCCTTCCTCTTCCTCCTCTTCTTCTTCCTCCTCACCCTCTTCGTCTTCTTCAGTAGTGATTATAACTTTTTTATTATTATTGATATTATCATCATCAATTTCCATTTGTTGAGAAGTACTTTTTGGTTTTATAGCTCTTTTATTGGATTTAGTGGTCATTATTATTTATTTTGAAAAAAAATTTATATATGTATATTGGAGTGACTAGTAAAGTTGAAAAAAAATATATGGGGCATACTGCAACAAAACCAGACAAAGTGAACATTGTGTCACTATGGGATTACAGGGATCAAAATTTAGTAACGTGATTATTATTATTATTATTATTGTGATTTAACAATTTTATAATCTCCCATCTGTTGTCTTTGATTTTTCTTAATATTAAGTGGTATATAGAATTGCTTCTATATAAAAATAATTAATATGAAATTAATTTATATCAGATCTATCATGGAACCCAAGGATTACAGCACTATCATCTCAATCAAAACAATTCTCAATCTTCAATTAATTTTTAAGATGAAATTTGTGAATATATCCCGTGGTTTCTTTTATATTTCTGTGAAAAAACGATTTTCTGTGAATGAAGCACGCTGAAAATACTCAAAACATACTGAAAACATACAGTGTGTTTTATTTTCGGTGTTTCCGTATATTTTTAGTAAAAATTTCGTGTTTCAGTGCAAAATTTTTTATAGGTCAAGATTTTCCATATTTCTAATAATTTTATGCAAATAATTCCCCAAATAAAATTATTTATAACAAAAAATAATCTTACTATTGTTTTAACAAGTCTCTTCTAAATGTATAAATAAAGGCGGATTTTCTTTTGAATTTTTTAAAATTGATAATAAATAAATACCTTTTAATTCTACACAATTAATATTTTTTTAGATCAATAAATTCTTTGAACCTCCAATTTATAAAATATCACAACACCATCTTTTTCTCTATTTAAAAAATGTACATATATTATGACAGAACAAAAACGCGAATCATGTTTATTGAAACGGACTTTTTTATTTTATTTTATATAAACATATAATAATAAGTAAAATTTTCCGTCGATCATTCTCTCGTTTCCAACGGATCTATGGGGACTGGCCACCTAAATCCGTTGAAATGAGGTTTGACTGTATCCGGTGAGAAATAGCAATTCTCATTACGTAGATTTGTTGCCCATGAAAACTGTGTTACACTATTGCTATTACTAATACTATTTTCCGTCGTCTGTGTAATATTAATCAATTGATTTTTTTATTGTAAGGGAAACTCCGATGACGATGAAATTAAAAAATTCCATTGGACAGACGAAAGTTAGTTATAATTCTATTAATAGATACAAAATTAAACAAGTACACATCTTAATCAATAATAATACAAGTAGTTTATATGTTTCTTCGACAATTGTTTTAATAGATAAGGGCTGAGATATTCATTTTAATTTTAATATAAAATCTTGTCGCGTATCATTGAATTTTCCTCAAATCCTAGTGTCCGCGTTTATTAATCCTCACTTTACAAAAAATTTAAAAGACAACTATCCATTAGGGTCCATTTGGCATTTATTGATGGAATTTTATTAACAAAGAAATGCATCCAATAAGAATTAATATGAGAATTAAATATCGGGCTCAATGAAAAAGAATTCATTATCCGAATAGTTTTAAATACAGATGAGGACGGAATGATTTATTCAACACCAAGTGAAGTTATAAATGAAAATTATAAATAAACTTGATAAAATGACATGTTATTCTGTACCAGTCATTTTGGGCTTTGATGATAAAATATTTGTTAATAATTATTTATTTTTCCATTTGAGATTGTTACTAATGATGTTACAATTTTTGTAACAGCACTTGACCATTCTATTTAAACTGGAATCAGTTTTTATTCAACGAAAGCAACGACTGTTATTGAGTTTACTTTACTTCACATCTTGCTTCTATATACCTATAGATCACATAAAATATTGGAACATGGAGAAAAGTGATGAGATGTATTGAGTGCACTAATATAACACATTATTAAAAAAAAATGAATCGAATGTGCGTATTTTTATTTTTATTTTTATTTTATTACTTTACATATCTCAACATTTGAATTAAAAAAAGGATGGCTTTGAAAGGCAACTAAAAAAATATTGGAAAAAAACGAACGTATAATTTCAGAAAACATTTGACATAGGAATATTTTTTTTCAATAGGGAAAATTAGTATGACAATCTCACTTGTCGATCTTACGAATTCGAGAAATGAGCTCCACAAAACAATATTCACGATTTAGACGATAATTTCAAAGCACTAGTTAAAAGTTTTTATCTGATAAGAAAAATGGGAATATGAAGATTTTGGCCGTATTGATAATAATTGTAAAGAATTGCCTTTTTGTTTTTTTTTGTTAGAGACATACGTAAACATCTGCAAGTAATTCTCGAAAAAAAAAAATATATTGGTTTTGTTGTTATGTATCTTTAATGTTAGCCTTTGTTTTTTTTTAATGGATTTTCAATGCGGGAAGAGACTACAGAAGAGTCATGTTGTAACGAGGGAATCTGGTCTAGGATTGCAAAATGGGAACTTAAAATTCATTTAGCGTTCATTGATGCTTCTGATTATTTATATTTATTAAAAAATAATATAAATAATAACACTGATGATATAAATTAAAAAAAATTATTATTATTATGTAATTAGAATAAATTTAAAAAATGTTTAATTCCTGACATAGAATAAATTATATGCAGCACGAGACTAGATGGGAAAATAAAACAATTGTTTTTTTAGTATATATATTTTATGATGTATGATATTGAAAAAATGTATAATAATATAATTTACCTTAACAGATCCTTCATTACAATTTGACACACGACTATCGTCAAAGTTATACCATTCATTTTTAAATCCATTTCGTACACATGCTGTATAATGCCCACCATTCAATCCACCATAATGATTTGATACTGCATATAAATCGTATATAAAAGGTCCAACCTGTTGCAAAGAATTTATTGATTCATCGTCTGTGTTGGAAGACTCTGATGTGTTTTTACCAGGAATGTTGACAGGTTGTGGTATTGGAGGTGGTACATAACTTGTTAAATCTAGTTTTTTTAATGGAAAATTAACCAAGGTTTCCACTTTATCTCTGAATGGTCCTTTAAATGAAAATCTCTTGAGATGTATTAAAAGAACATCAGGTAATCTTGAAATTGAAAGACGCTTTGTTGCACGTTGAAAACATTTACATCTGGGACAATTCCATGCATTTTCTTTCTCTAAAATTTCTTCTTTAACGAAAGCATTCAAACATTGTAATAAATCAATACTATTTTTTTTTTTGGTTTTAGGAATTGGCAGTGATAAATACATAAATGTATTGTAGGTTGTAGAAGTCTTTTTACAAGATAAGCATTTCAGTTGATTTCTAAATTGTCCTTGGAATAAACTAACCACAATGGATGAATTACGCATCATATATCTATCCCATTCTAGTACTGATGCAATTTGAATTGGAAGATCTTCCATGCTTTCTTCTTCCTTCCTTGTTAATGCTCTGATATTGGGCTTAGCTTTCACAATGTTCAAATCTTCATGCAGCCCGTCTAATAAATATGCAAGGAATTCTTGAGAATCTTGTTGATCAGTTCCTGAAAAATGAGGTGCAAATTTTCCAATAGCCTGTTTAAATGTTACAGGAGAAACAATTGGATATTGACCATTCCATAACACCCTAATTAAAGTTGCAAATGCATCAGCCAAAGCACCTTTTGTGCCTAAAGGATTAACTTTGTTAATATGATATTTGTAGCTTCCATCTAAAAAATAACGAGCAAATGGAATAGTGCCGCTTAAACATTGAATGATCGAATTCATGAAACAAGTATTGCCAAGGTTTTTTAATCCAGAAATTCCAACATCTGAACCCAACTGTGAAAATGAACTTTCTGAATTAGGAAATCGTTGGTGATAATGACCAGTACTTGATGATGGCCTATTAGGTATTTCCATTGGTTGTTCGTTATTGGAAGTCTGAGATGAATCCGGAATTGTAAGAGATGTTTTATATGATGATGATGATGTTGTTGATGTTGATGACGATGTTGTTGTTGATGATGTCTTAGGATTACCTGTTGGCGGTAATGGTTTATTTGGCAAGGGTGGTTTTGTAGTCTTTGTAGTAGAATTTAGTTTTCTTTGTGAATTTGGTGATGGATAATTTGGATTCTTAACCGTAGTAAAACCGTTATAAGGATGATCAAAAATGGTTTGACGTCGTTTCAAACTACTAGCTCCCCGGGTAGTTGAAGGTTCTTTTTGTGAGTCTGTTGATTTATTTTCAGGTAATTTATGCTGTATATTGGTAGATGATGACGGTGGTGGTAGTGGTAATGGTTTGTTTGGGGCAGGTATGTCAATATGAGATGAAACTTTTGATGGTTTGGCTGGTGAATTAATAGTATGATTTGAGCCGTGAGTTGTTTGATGTTCAGCTCCGACCATTGATTCTTTATAAATACCTCCAGGTTGTTGAAACTGTTATTTGATTGCTTATTATTAGAATATTATAATTGATTTTATTTTAGAATAACAAAACAGTAATACTTACATAATCGATGATATTTCTTACATATGATACTTCATTATTTAAAGAAATAGTCATTCTAATATTTAATATTTAAATAAATTATTTAACCGTTAGAAAAATTTTAAATGTCTCAAAATAAATTAATAAAAATAGTGACAATACCTTTGATGATTAACATGCTCTGCCAAAGATAAATTATTGTCTGAAATAAAAACCCCTTTTCTTTTAGATTTATCATGATTAATTATTCTAGTTCTTGGTGTATGGTTTTGACCATTTCCAGAAAAGCCATTGTTAACAGAGCTACCATCATATTTTTCAAGTCGATTATCTTGATTTTCTTCATCAACAGTACATTCAATGCCTATCTCACCATACAAATGTTTCCAGGCATCGAAACCACCATATAGTAACAAAGGTGATTGTTTCAACTCCTTTGCATATTCAGTTTCATATATTGCATTTATCAAATTGTTTAGAGGGTTGTTTTGGACAGTTATAGATATAGTAACAGAATCTTGATCATATAAGACAATTAAATCAAAATCATCACGCTTTTTGAAAAGGTCCAATTCTTTTTTTGGAGAAATTAATAGTTTAGATTCTATGTCTATGGAAGAAATTCTATTAAATCATAATAGTTAAAAATTAATCAGGTTATTAATTAATTATATGTATTATAACATAGCATAATCTTACCCATCCTTTGTAATGAGAGGATCTAAACAAATAATATTTTTTGCTTTTATATGACCCTGATCAAAATCATTCCTGTGTCTAACATCAAGCAACAAAATTTTTTGAGCATCATCGGGTACTGATAAAAGCTGGTGTAATCTGGAAGCTTGTATGATTTTAGTATCAAAATTGCTTTCATTTTTATTATTATTATTATTGCTACCATTAGTTTCTAATAATTTTCGTACTGGAATCTCGTCAATTATATTAGAAGATGATGTAGATGATGTTATCTCTCCAATATTTTTTTTTTCAGCCAAGCTTTGATTGATATTTTGACTTGAAGTTAATGCATTTGATGAAGTGGAAGGCTCGGTGATTTTGTTTGGTGAAACATCAGTGATCTTATATTTATTCAAATGATCTTGCTTATTATGTATTTTGAGTGCTATTTGTTCAGTATTAGCAATAACACTAGGAAGTTTCTAAACACAATATACATAACAAAATTATCATTGATTTATCCATTTTCAATAAGCTCTTTTTTTAAATGATAGCATAAACAAAGCTACCTACTTTTTTTAACTCATGATAAGTTTTACTAAGTGCTGGATCTTTTTTGCTCTCGATTAATTCCTTATAGTCTTTATGTTTAGGCAATTTTTCAATTATTATTCTAAATTGAATTGAAATCGATTAATAAACTTTTGAATATAAAAAAAAACTAAAAAAATTTGGGATAAAAATTATCATTATTGTTATACATTTTTTATCCTACATTTAAGAAATGGTTAGAATTCTTCGAAACTTACGAGCCTATTTTCAATCCGTTTTTGTATGCATTTTCGTAGTTGTCTGATTCCAAGGCTGAATCAAACTATTGGAAATTACAATTACAAGTAAATAAACATACATTTAATTATGTAACCAATTGAACAAAAAAAAAAAAAACTCATTTAAAAGAAAATGTACATGCCTCAACAAGTAACTTTTCTGTTGTTTTTATCCAAAATTTCAAATTGTATTCATTGGGTTCTGTTAGCACTCTTGATTGTTCTATTAATTCAGAAATTTTTGAGTCTGCGATAGTTGACATGAATGTGATAATATTTTGATATCAATGTATTGAAATATTGAAAATAAGGAGACATTGTAAAAAATTATATGAAAATTTTAAAAAATTATGCAAACCCATTATTCTGCATTTACTATCCAAAATCGGATTGGCCAATTTCCATAACTCTCATTGATTGGTTGAATATATTAAAAAATAAACAATTATCACATTTTACGCATTTTCAGAAATTGCTTCGACATTAGCACCAGGTGACGTTCTCCAACTTAAGGAACAACTTTACCATAATCATCACTTTAGATTTATCTATTAACAATAATCGTACCACTAAAAAATTGATTACTAACCCAAACTTGCGGGATTTATTGATATTAATATAGAATTAAAAATGAAAAAAAACAAAATTTAGTGTTTGGCAATATTTTTATTCTGATGATATCAAAAAAATAGCCGTACAGAATGAGTATGTCAAGCTTGTGCTTGGAAACGAAAAGTAGAAAAAGTACAGACCACCTAGCACTAAAACAGATGCTGAAGTAAAATCGACTTTTATAGAAGAAACAGAAAATCAGAGAAACAATTTAATCGTAACCCAAAAGATTAAAAGTTAAAGCCAAACAAAGTTGACAGATATGTTTGAAAGTTCTAAGATTGATAATTTTTAGGTCTTTGTGTGTCATTTCAACTAGTATTGTCTAGGTTATAAGATACTAATAGAATTACTTTTTTAAGTTCTTGGGCTAACCAAGAATTAACAAATGTTACTAGTACAATTCTTGAAGGCATAAGTTTTTCTGATAATGTTATCTTAGGTTGGAAATTATTTGTTTTAATTGAATTGCTAATAAAATAAAATTTAAAAATTTTTAAATTTCAGGATTAGCAGATTCGTCTGGAAGATCCATGTATGCATCTGTTTTGACTTTACCACCTAAAAAAGGATACAATTATTTGTCAAAATGCTGATAATATTTCTCAAAAAATATTCAAGTCTTAAAATTTCTCCAATATGTCATGTACCCATGTTGAGAGAGAGACTCATACTCTAGCCTGGAAGTGATCGATACTGCACAAAGTGGAAATTTGAAATCTTTATATTTCTATGCCAATGTATAATCTGCTTATTACACATGTCAACTATCTAAAACAAAATCATTATAATTATAGGCGAAACGAAAATTCGATTTGGCAAAAGTTTCGGCAATTTTATTATTATATGGTGCAAGTCACCTAGTCCCGCAACTTGCTGCGCCTCGTGGCCAATTTTGGGAAAAATCATCAAAACTCAGAATTGTAAGTTATGCTCAAAAATGCAATAAAATTTTATATCACGTGACCTTTAATGGTGATACAAATTAAAAAAAATAT